TACGGCCAGGGCCCGGGCAGCGGCCACCAGGGCCTCGGCCAGGGCGGGTGCGGGCCGTGCCTGGGCCTCGGCCAGGGCCACACTCAGGCCTCGTTCACCCACCAGGTGGTCGCCGCTGTAAGTATGACTCCCTGCTCCCCACCCCCTCCACCCTACTCTTTCGCTCCCCGCCTCATGTACAGTTCGGCTCTATTTACCTTTGCCAGCCTCTGCCTGCACAACTCACAAACCTCATTATCTGTGGTGTTACAATACAGTATATATCTACGGTTCCCTGATTTCCATACCGACTGTATGTAAATATAGTGTGGTAGCTAGATGCTTTGTTGTACATTGTAGTGATTTGTATAATATTTGGCTTTCGCGCCACATTTTTAGTGACTTTGTAGCAGTCGTCTCGCTTCGACACTTTGCACTTTGCATGCCTTTCTCCTTTGTTTTCTGTGAGGCTGGCGCAAACTATCCTTGTCGGCCTCCTGTACAGTACACTCTTTGTATCACACGTTGACGCTGTAGTTGTTGGAACCCTCTCCGTGTCGTTGTTGACAACTTCGCACGCACGCTCTATGTGGACTGTCTATATCGTTAGTGGGCGGCCGCGGGGGCGGGGCCGGGGGGTGGGCTTCGCCGAACTATAGTATGGCGAGTGAGATAAGGGCGGGGCGGAGTCCTTTTGGTTTTGGTTCGCGGTGTGGGCGAGGTGCGAGTACACGAGTGACAAGTGACACTCGACAAGTGAGAGTGACTATGGTATCATCCAGCTCTCTCTCTCACTCACTCGTACACTCGATCCGATATCAGCAAGATTTAAATCGCCCTTCGTGCCGCGTCTGGCTCGGTGCCGGGCCGGCCAGTGTACTTACGTCTGCCCTGCGGCTCGTCGCCATGCGGCTGTTTTTATGTCTGTCATGTTTCGAACTGGTCGTTGAGCGGGCCAGCAGCTCATGACGAGTTATTGGGATAGAAATGCGGTGCTGGTCGTGTCTGTCTGTATCGCCCGGGCCCATTCATAGAGGGCGCGCCCTGGGGGCGTTCACGAGCTAGCTAGCGGGCGGGGTGACGCCCCCTGGTGCCCCTCGGTGCCCCCCGGGCGGGCGGGGCCGAAGCACTGTGGGCGAAGGCGCTGGCGCTCCTATCGGCTGTGCCGTGCGGGGCTGGGCCGCGGGCCGCGGGCCCCACTCCTGCTAATACCGCATCGCCCTTAATCCATCGACAGATGAGGGACGGCCTCGCGACACGCGCGCCGCACTCGCCACGGGGCCGGCCGGGGCCGGCGGAGGCATGCCGGGCGTTCTGTTTCTGCGAACGCGACTCCCCGGCGCTGAGTTCAGCAGCAGTGTTCCCCGGCTTACCCTTTCCCCGCCGCCGCCGGTTCGGGTCTCTCTCATTACGCGCACTCGTCACTTTTGGTCCAGCCCCCCACAGCCACCCCCCTTTCTCCCCCCTGTCCGCCCCCCTGTCAGCACGGAAGTCAGTGTCAGATGATGGAAGCAGAGGTGTTATCTGGGATGCAGGCCTCGTAGCGCACAAAGGGGCGTGGCCTGCTGGCAGATAAGCAAGCCGCGTTTGGCGGCGAAGGAGAGGCCCTCGTTTCTGCTATTTAGAGCCCCTGGTTTCAAGTCGGTGGTGCTGGCAAGTTTTGTTTTTATCTTCTGTTTTTGAACCCTTTGCGGCGGCGGCAGGCCCTCCATCTCCTCCGCGGGGCCCACCATCACCCCCCCCCCTCTTTTCACCACAACCCCCTTCAACCGCAAGCCGGCGGCCGCGCGGCCGCCGCTCCTTTGATAAAGTTCCGGTGCCCACGATCGGAATGGTACAAATGTTTTTGCTGGTCAAACTTTGCTCCGCTTTGGGATAAGAGGAAAGGGGGAGAGGAGTGTGGTGCTTGTGGTACTACCCTGATTCCGGATGAGAGTGCCCTCGGCGCTGCCCACCCCCGGGGCCCCTGGGCCCGTTGCCCGCCCCGCCCTGCCCGCTCTCCATTCGGAATCGAGGGCTCAGCGCGCGGGTCGTACGTACGGTGCAAGTTGACGCGTAAACCCGGGCGGGCGGATTGTATGGGGTCGCTGTGATTGCCCTGGCGGCCCCGGCCACCCCACCCCCACCACGCCCCGCCCCGCCTCGCCCCACCCCGCCCCGCCGTATCGCTCGTTGTGCCTTCAGCTTGCCTTCAGCCCTGAGGGGCCTCCTTCAGCCCTATACACCCTCTCGGCGAGGTGTGCCAGGCGAGTACTTACTCGCAGATCCCTCTTGCCCCGCGCACCCCCGCGCCCCGCCCTGGCCCCTCCCTTAGAGCCAGGCGGCGCCCGCTGATGAGGGCCCCGCTGACACAATGAGCCATTCCAACCAACCCTGACTTCCAATGGGCTTGGCCTGGAGCTGAAGGTCGTGGTCGTGATTTCCAATCTAAAGCATACTTTGTGAGTTCGATCGATTGTAACTTTGAGATTTCAGACACATGTTGTGTTTTTGTGGCGGGGCGGGCAGGGCTTGGAGATTCCCATTTTCTCATTTTCGTTGGAATGGCTCTCTACAGCTCTTGGACACGGAGGAGGTGGGTAGGCAAGGGGGTGCCGACTGATGCCACGGGCCGCAATGCGGCGCGCGCCCACCCCGCCCCCGTGCTAGTTGGGCAACACGGCCGCACGCCTGCGTGCGGTGCAGTATGACTGCGAGAGCGACCCCCACCCCTCTTCCTCTCTCTCTCTCTCTCTCTCTCTCTCTCCCTCTCTGCGCCCGGCCGCGTTCCGTCCCCGTTTATCAGGGTCGTTTTCCTCCCTGCAACACGGTCCTGTACAGACCGGAGTCGAGCCGGATGCTGCATTTCCCTCCGGGGGTGGCGGCGTGGCGTCGGCTTGATGCCACTCCAACCCAGCGGCTCCACCCCTCTGGACCTTCCCCGCCCCGGGCCGGCTCCGAGCCCTGTCTTACGCCTCCGCTCTGCTCCGCGCATGCGCCATGGCTTGAGAGTGCTGAGGTGATGTTAAATGTTGATACCCGAGCAGCGGCGGTGGCGTGCCACTGGTACCCATGGGCTGCCACAGGACTTGCAGTGGCACGCGTCACTCGCGGAAGTTGAATATCTCCAGAGCCGACAGCCGATTTTCGCAAACTTTGGAGCGTCGTTCGAACTTTTACTACCCCTCGCAATCCCGCCTCCCTTCCTCGAGGGTGCTGAGCACCTCAGCAGCGCACCACTAACGCACACGTCTCTTTCGCAGTACGGCTCGGGGCGCGTGCCTTCAGCGACCTCGCCGGCCAACACCCACAGCTCCTCCAGCTCCAACACCGGCTCGCACAGCGGGACCCTCAGCACCAGCCTCAGCAACCACCTCAGCGTCGGCGGTGACCAGCTCAGCAAAACCAACCTCTACATCCGCGGCCTCAACCAAAACACATCGGACAAGGACCTAGTCACGATGTGCCAGCCGTGAGTATTTTGTGGAGCCCGCTTTTAGCTATTTTCTGGGATGCGGATTTTTTTATTTTTTTTTTCAATTATTATATTTGCTCTTACACTTGGCGTTTCTATCTTTATTGTTTCAGGTACGGAAACATCATCTCAACGAAGGCGATCCTCGACAAAAATACTAATAAATGTAAAGGTAAATTATCTGTCCGCCAATAACGTTAAAGCTAAATTAAACAAATTTGCTTAGAATCGGAAATAATTAACATGCTTGTTTTGTTTGTGGCGGATGGAATGTGGTACCAAATGTAGGTTTTCCTGAGAGCATTGCAAGTATTTATTTGTTTGTTTTTCTGCTTTTTCAAATTTCAGGGTATGGGTTTGTGGACTTTGAATCAAGCCAATGTGCTGAAGCCGCAGTCAAGGCTCTGCAAGCCAAAGGAATCCAGGCGCAGATGGCTAAAGTGGGTATCACGTTGCCGCGTAGACCAGCCAGTGTACGTTCTGTGCATGCAAGTAAAACTACTCAACTCACTCTTTTCTCTTTCTCTCTTTATTTTCTTACTTTCTCTGTTTAAGTGAATAGTTCATAAGCCATAGCTGTGACAGAAGCAATTAGTCGTTGGCATCTGGGGTACTTGCAATTTAGGAAGCTCATTACAGTATTAGATTTAGCTACCAACCAAACCATTTTAACATGAAACCAGTTCGAGTGGTAAATCAGTTTTCCTCAAAGTGCATAATACTGGATTCATGGCATTAGGAAGTTATTTTTTTGTAAATAGTAGCAGTTTTGAATGCTCTATATAGTCTTCTCCACAGTCCTTCCTGCATTTGAAGGGGGGAGCTTCATATTTGATTTCAGAAAAATAGATATTAGAATTCAAAGGAAGGCTATTTAACTGCTATGTGTCTCACACCTAGTACTTTTCTTTGTTAACTTTGCCCTTTTCCAAAAACCAACACAAGAAAGCTCTCCCTATGTCAGTAAAGAATTCCTGCTCAACAAATGTAATGTCCTCTTATGTTCAAATGTAAATATAGCTTCTGTCAGGCTAAGGTGGATAATCAACTTGTTTCAAGTGACTTCTGAACCTAAAAGGGAGTGTATTTTAAATTTAAAAAAAGAAATGTTTGCCAAGTACAGTTTTTTGAGTGAATTTCTATTTATTTTCATTACCATAACAAATGTGGAGAGGTTTGTTTCAATGAGAATGTATTATTGAGCCTTACTCATATTTCCCCTTCTTAAAAGTCTTTGGTTTCACCCCATATTTTCTTTGGGTTTTTCAATTGATTTTCATGAGCCGAACCAGCCTTTATTTAAACCTCTTGATGTTATTCCCCTAAGAGCAGTTGTTTATCATTTCACTCTCAAGATATCTTTCATCCTGGTGAATTAACATCTATGTTTGTTTTGCTAGATATTTTAGTGAGTTAGTTTGAACAGTTTTAGTTGACACCCAATATCTTATACTTAACCATGGTTCATCTCATAGATAACTGGAAAAGGTAATCCTAAACTATAGGAACCACAATAAGGAACTTGAAAAAGAATTCTTTTATTTTCTCTATCCCTTTTATGTAGCAAGTATCTGGTTGGGAGTGGAAAGTAGCCAGGTGTGTGTGAAAAAAAATATAATTGGGTAGTAGTTTGGATCATTGTCATTGCATGTTTTACATCAGCCTCCTTTTGCTGAGTCTGTATGACTTTAAAAATACTGGAGGTGTTCTAAACATAAAAGAATAGCTTATGTGAGGACCCTGATGTGGTGGTGTCAATAGAGGTATTTGTCATATATTTTGTGTGGTGTGGTACGTCTTAGTAGTAGAAGCTATTTCCCTGTCCCTGTGTACAACTGGCTGGACTTTGTAGTAATATGCACAGATTAATCTGGAAGTGGATTTCTTAAGTTTGAGTCTTGTGTCTAAATACCTTTCACATCTGCTATAGTACTGTCTGTCGTCATTTCATGTTCATTAGTTGTCAAGCATATTTGCTTCTAATGTATTTCAGCATATATTGTACAAATATATGTTTTCAGTCAGTTTGCTTTGGGTGTTGCTCAGTATTTGCATTTTACAGTTAAAGTGTTCAATTTTTTTCAGAAGGCATTCATGTGGTTTTGTGATTACACTCTCCCTACTAGGTTGAGGATCATTTGCAGGACTTGTGAGCTTATCTTTTTTATCTACAATCTAATGTGAGGTGCATAATTTGATTCATAAAAAATCATAAGAAATTACACAAACAAAAATATTGGGGAAAAAATCATATTATTTTATCGGCTGGTATAATTCATTTACCTCGTAAATGTTTGCACTTCACAAAATTTTATTTTCAAATGCTCACTTCTCCTTGAACAGTTCTGTCTAGATTCTTTTGTTCTTCTCTTTTCTTTTTGGCTTCTTTTTGCAGCTTTTTGGCCTTTTCATTTATGAAGTATCAGTAAAGTGCTTATGTATAAAGTAGCATTAAGTTTGAACTTCATTGAGTGTTTTTCAATGACTCCTTTGTCAAAGTTATCCTCTTTTCAATGTCAATCTCTTTCCCTATACTATTATAAATTCTATTTAAACCAAGTGAAAGCAATTTATTTGTCGGTAGTTTTTGGACAGATGGTTTGCAAAGTTACTCTTCAAATTCAGATGGTGTTTAAACCTTTACTATTAAACAGTGAATTTGTTTTCCTTTGAAATGTCTTATCTCTTCTGTTTGAATGTATGAAATATGTGAATAGAAAGATTAACAATAATCTAAGCTATTGTAATAAATATGTTTTGTTTTTTTGCTACAATTACTTTTTGTAAAATAGTTGATTGATAACATTAAGTATATGTACTGTCCAGGAACTACTGTGGCACATTAATTTTTGTTTGCAATTTTATGTTTATTCTTATTCAGCTCAATTAGAGATTTTCTTTGGACTCTTTTCTCAACTGTTCAACATTGCTATTTGAAATAATTTCACCCTTGAAAAGAGAGCCAAAAGCTGTTTAGTGATATTTTTTTAGTTCTTGAGTTGATATTGTTAAGGTGGATTTATTTTTGTGAAGCCAAAACTGCAGCAAGCAAAAACTGAAGCCTCATATATAGCTTTCTCTTATTGATAGCTGCAGACAGACAGCTAAATATGTGGCTCTGGCTTGCACTTGCAGCTCAAGCTTCAGAAGACTTACCATCCAACTTTAAATTTCCAATTCATGATTCCAGATCATTCAAATGTTCTGAGAAAATGCAAGTAAGACTTAATTTGTAGGATATGAATACCATATCCACAGAAAAATTGTGGGGTTGAATTTGAACAGTTCAGAAGTAGGTTCTTTTCTTGCATGTTTAATATCACATGTTTGGCTGCATCTGCTGATCTATTCCTGTGTATCTATATCAAACACTAAAACAGTATCAACAAATGAGCCATTTTATGTGATGTAGATGAAAGTCATGAAACCAGTTGTGGGGATGCCAACTAACCGTATCCATGTGCGATCCACAGCAACAGGAGCAGGACCCAACAAATCTCTACATAGCCAATCTGCCATTGAATTATAAGGAAAATGATGTTGAAAACCTGCTGTCAAAGTTTGGACAAGTTATTTCAACTAGGATTTTGAGAGACCCCCAAGGGCAGAGTAAGGGTGTAGGCTTTGCCAGGTGAGATTGTCTAGATTAATAATTGGTTTTGTAACATGCTTATTTCCTTCAAAATCTGACTGTTTTCTGTTCCTTCTCGCCTTATAGGATGGATTCTAAAGAAAAATGTGAAGAAATAATCGATATGTTCAATGGCCATCTCTTGCCAGGAGCAAAAGATGCATTGCTAGTTAAATTTGCTGATGGTGGAAATAAGAAAAGGAGTATGTACCGGCCCGACCAACGTATGTGGCGCGACGGTAGTGAAGTAAGTACTTTGTGCTTCCTATTCCATTACTTTTCTAAATTTCTTTTCTTTTTGAGGACAAAAGCGTCTTCTACTTTTAATGTCTTTCTCTCTGTCTCTCTCTCCGTCTCTCTGTTTCTCTCTACTCTAATTTGCAATCAAAGGGACCAGAGCATGTAAGTATATCAGAATAATGGTCAATGAAAGAATGTCTCAATCTTAATTCTCACCAGTCTGCATCTACGTAGTTAAGTCTTTTTTAAGATTTTTCTCAGGCTGTTCACTGTCCCCCATCTTCCTGCACCTGTGTGCTATTTCAGTTTCATTTTAAGATACTGACTATTTTTATCTGATTTCAGGGTGGAGCAATTAGTTATGAAGCCAGCGGAATGGCTCAAAATGGACTTGCTGGTCAAGCTATTCTACCCACCACATTTACTCATAGCTATGCAAGACAATTTGGACCTGTACAGAGCTATTCTTTGCCTGCTGCTCCATGGATGACGTCAGTTCATGGTGGGCCGCAGTATGTGATGCAGCCTTCTCCTATGACACAAGTTGAGGTATGCATCATTTGAAAACGCGTAAAACATTCTACCCAATCGAATTACTCGTAAAATTTTAGCATAAATACATATTACTGGTCTAAGGAGAAACCAAAATCAGTCTGTGGACTTAACTTGTTGCAATTGAACGATGTAAACTTGCTTTGTTGAAGTCACCTTGAGAGGATTTTACCTGGCCTTCCACTGCCGATGTGTTAGGTTTAGGGAGTCAAAATAAGTTCAGTGAATGTGTTACATTTCTTTGCATGCTTATGCTGCTGAGAATGCTTTTGATGTGCTCTCATTTCCTTTCCTTTCCCCATTTGCTTTCTTTAAAATGTCATCAACATTCTATTATGCAATACTAAAACAGAATTCCATTTGCTTCATCCCTGTCTTGTTAATAACGACAATCTAACTTTAAACTATGTTCTAAAATTACTCAGTGCTTCTTTCAAGACATAAAAACTACCAACTCTCTGCTCCAAAATCATTAACTTTTTCAAGCTAAACATTATTGAAACATGCCATTACATAGGAATTTTATTGAAATCTAGTGGAGCAAGTTTTATGAGAGAATCCTTTTCAGATGATGCCATCCGACCCCAATTCAGTGCAGTATGGATCGATGATTCCTCCTCTAGCCACACAGATGCAGACAATGCATATTGGTACTGCTCCCTCGGTAAGTTTTTTTCCTCATAATTATTTTTTCTTACTAAAACAGAATTTGGCACGTTTTTTGTACCAAAGTAAACTTTTGGGTGTTCACTTCTTAATTACGAGTTAGGAACAAATTTATTTTAAAAATGTCAAACTTCATCCCTTATCACGATAGGGCAGCTTTCATTTTCTTAATCTAAACAGTTTTCTTACTAGAATGTCCTTTTTTTAAAACTTAAAAGTTCAGATTGTCAATTTCCTGGTTAATGCAATGCTTTGCACTTTGCTTTTAATAGGTATGTTTTGTCTCAATCTGAAAGCAGATATATACTCTGCTTCCCTAGCAGTTCACTTTTACAATCAGTTACACAGCTTGGATTGGACCTGATAGGTTAAATTTTGTCTGTGCTTTTCTGGATGAGGCTCCTACATTTTGTCTGTATTTGCATTTGCTGTTGTAACTGTACATATTTTTAGTTATAGTTTTTTGGTATAGTATTTATTTAGACATGTAATTACCCAACACGGTTATTTAACTTCCCGAGTTTTATTTGTGTCTGTCATTATTTTTGTCTTTGCTGGGCTTTCATGTTTTCTATTACCCTAAACTGTTTTTATTTTTATTTCCAGTATGTTAGTCCGTACCCATATTACCCTCATTCGATCATACATACTGTGATCCCAGACTCAGAACACACATCTAACACTGCATCTCCTGATGATTCGTATCAGACCTATCAGCAGCAGCCTAAATAACTTTAGACTTTATCGTAAGTAACTTACAGTGTTCATTCCGAAGGTATTTTTTCCAAGTTCCTCATGCTTATCCATAATTTGTTTTACAGGTTAGTAATTTTTTTCATTCTCAAGCAACAGTGTATGAACGGGAAACAAGGCATCAAATGGGAGAAGGAAGCACTTGAAATTCATCAGGCTACAACCGCTATGAACTTTTAAGTCTACTGCATTTTAAACAAGTCTCTCAAACTAATCACTCTGCTGCTTCTATTGAAGCTTTCAATATTGAATGGTGCAAGTTGCAAGTATGTACAGCGTACAGCAAGGCTACAACAGCCCCAACCGAATTGCAACATATTGCAGTTACTCCAGTGGAATACAGAAACATCTTATCTCTCGACATCACAGCAGCTCGCTAGCGCATTGCGCTTATGCACAACAAAAATAAAAGTTCTTCATTGTTTTTTTGTTTTGTTTTCTAATTTTGCCTAAAGTTTGTAAGAGTTTTATTTTACCTCATTGATTTGTGATTGAGATTGCAAGTTTTATCTAATTTTATGGTAGTATGTACCACTTTGTTCAAAACTAGTGTCTGAGCGATTATTAGTTGTTATGAATTATTGTTACATCAAACATCAAGCATGTCTGCCTCAGTGCGCCAAACCAATTCAAATTTTCATTATAATCATGTCAGTCTTGAGGGATAATTCAATTAGAGTTAACAATTAATGAAAGCAATTTTTTAAATTTTTTTTAATGGAAACAGATGTATGTGCCAGTTTTTATTAGTCTTGGGCATCATCATCAGTACAGAATCTAGGAAATCTTGTTTACTGGAATTGTTGACTATCTGCATGGAATAGACTATTGAAGCTGCTCATGATGCATCATTTGTTGATTAGTATTGGCATGTATTTGCCAAAATATTTCTGACTTTCTTTTTCTTTTAATGTTTGAGACTAGAGTGATTATTGACACAAAAACCTATCATGATTGTTTGGAAAGAAAAATTGGGTGAATCATTTTGTTGGTTAAAATCAGTGCTGTTAAACTTTCTCCTATGGTCTCTCTTTTGGTCAACAGAACTCCTCAACAATTTCATTGTATGGGAACCAGTGTGGTTTTGCACCATGTTAGTAGAAGTGAGATGCATTACAAGTAATGATTTTGATCTTTTGTTTATCAACGTCATTGTGTTTAAATTCTAGCAGAGGCTTAGCTGGAGGAAAAAGCCTGTATCCCATCTCTGTTACTGAGATCAACTTCTGGTTTTGCGAGTTCCAATTTTATTGACCTGCAGAAATTGATATTGCCAGACACTGCTTTTAGCTTCATTCTAGTTTTGTGTGGCTTCATCTTGTCATGGAGGAATCTTTAGCTTATGGACCTAGCTCTGTTTCTGTTGATCTTTTTTACTAAAATTCCATTCTATGGCTATCAATGATTGGAAAAGTGAAGCTTTTCTTTTACATTCCATAGTAGTTTTCTCTGAATACCAACCTAGAAAAGTTATGTTGTCAAAAGTAATCTGAGAAGGTTGATATTTATTTTTTTATATCAAAGGAGCGGAAGCAAAGACTTCATTAAAATTGTAGCAATTCTTCTTTGACTTTGGGAATATTAGTGTCCTGTTTGACATTTGTTAGTAGTTAAATTGAGTTTTATAAAATAGTGCCTTTTTACCAATGACCATCTTCAGCAGTTACTGATGGTTACTGGCGGTGGTACTGGTGATGTCGGACCCGCCTCAGTTTCAGACTTCCAAAATAAAACAGATGACAAATGGTGAGGCGGAATTTCTCAACTCTGATGATCATCAAAATATTCTCCACATTTCTACTTTTCCTAATAGACTGATTTTTATCAAACCAAATTTACTTTGCTCAGTTTTTTTATATAATTTTTGTTTTGTTTTGTATGTGTTTTTTTTTTCCAATAACATTTACCTACTCTTTGTTATTTGGTGATTTGTGATAGTTGACTGTATTTGTCAAGAAACAGGCCAAGAATAATTGTCGGCACCGTTAGGAAACTTTAGCATGATGCGAGTGAGCTACTGTCAGCCCACCTAGAGTAGAGCTAACATGTAAGCTTTTTAATATTCCAAATGTGAGAAATATTTTACACTGTTAAAATCTCAAGATACTTAGTTTATTTTGATACGCCTCACTTTGATGTCAAAGTGGTAAAATAAGATATTTTTTAGAATGAACTATTATCCCAAAACTATGACTTGATATTCCAAAGAAAATGAAATAGCGTGTTGTTTTCAAGTGTCATTCACTGGAGGTATTTTTTCAACTTGATGATTTTAGATGTTCAACAAGGCTGGAGAATAGAAAAATGAACCAGCTGCACATGAAAACATGGGCACCATGTGCTCTTTGATCCCAAATGTCTTAAATTGGACTTAAACAGTGGCCCAAATGTACCATTGTAGCAGAGAGAATGTGCAAAGCTATGGGACTATTGTTGTGCAATTTTAAGGTTTATCCGATAACCGAAAGTTGCACACAAATGTACCACTGCTGGTTGAAGTAGTCTTCTCTTATCAACATGAGCAAGTAGCATTGCTGCAGCATGTGAGTTTTTTGTTTCTTAAGAAATGATTTATTGTACATTCTTCTTAGATTTAAGTCTTTACCTCATTTCCCCTTCCTATGGAATATGTTTTCCCAATTTTCCTCTCCTAGCTGGTTGCGAGAGTGATTTAGATCTTGTAAGGTAGTATTTCTTGAAGCATGAAAAATGTTAAAAAAAATCTTCCTAGGATTCTTAGGCAGTAGGTAAAAAATAAATCAAAGATGATGTTGAAGTGTCGTTTCTTTTAAGTAGTGGTTAGTCATTTACTATAGGATGATCATTTTAGGTTAAGATTGTAGTTTGTAGATACTAGGATTTAAAAAAAAAAATAATTTTGTGGTGACTCATTCTGAGTAAGAAACTAATGATGTGTTCTGTAGAGTGAAGTATTATGGCACGGGATATCTTTTAACTGTGGATCTTTCATCTGGACGGGGAGGATTTTTTATTCCTTCTTTTCCTCCCAGCCTGAGTTGAACCTCTAGTCGTGCTGCAGATGATATCTGTCTAGGAAGCAAGCCGTGCCTTGCCATTTCCTTTAGAACAGTGAATCATGCTTTCCGCTTTGCAGATTTCTCCTGCAGTGCATGTCCATTTAGTATGATTTTATTTGTTTGAATGTTTCTTGTTTTGGTCATGTGAAGACCACATTTTGAACAGAGCTGTTAAATACTTTATTTTGTTACACCACCGTTTTCTCCACGAAACGAAATGGATTTTACATGTTGTCATATTGTGAAAGAGGTTTTACAAATAGTGATAAGAAATTGATCTTTTTCCTTTTATGATAAATGGAAAAATGATGTCTGAAGATAAGGGCAGTTACCAGATGTCCTGTTAGAATTGAGAATTGAAGAAAGGAAAACCATAGGGTTTATTTCAGAATGATTTTTTTCCTTAGAAATCTAGTTAGTTTATGTAGAAAAGTAGGGAAAAAGCTTCTCGTTCATTTTGTTTTAATTCAAGAACAAATTAAATGAAATGCCAGGTTTCCTTTTTTTTTTTTTTGTAGGGAAGTTCCTTGTAAATATTGTATTCAACATTTTTTGAGCCGTATCGATTATGGAGTAAAGCATTGAACAAATGGTTTGAAGAATGATGTGTAAAATTGGTGCATTCCAGTCTTCCCAATTTAAGAAAATGTTTTGTCTGCTTTAACTTGAGGGAGGATTAAGTTATGAATGGAAATATCAGGATGAGTGAGTAGTGCCAGTACTGGTGCTGTGACAAAGATTAGATATTAAAGAGTGACTGATTTTCAGTGTGACATCAAAGTGTGAAGTTTGAGACATTAATTCAAACTTTGCTGTTGATGAAAAAGGAAATGGAGTGTGTGCTAAAGTTGGCAGAACAATGTCAAGGACGAAAGAAGTAGTGTATATTAAGTTGTGTGATGTGCTGTGAGTAAGTGTGACTGAACAAATGTTGCTACAAGATGTGTATGTGCTCAGAGTTTCTTGTTGTTTTTCTTCAACTGCTCTATTTCCTGACGATAATACATTCTTTTTTAATTTTGCCAAAAATTCACTTTTATCGCCAGTTAGCGTGGTATGCAACTACAATGTTTATTTATTGATGAGTTAAGTTGCTTGTTTTGTATAGCTGGTCATATTGATCTGGAAGTACATAAAAGAGTAAAAAAATTCAATCTTGTAGTTTGGTGGCGAAAGAAAGAAGATGACTGAGAGCTTTTACTAAGATTTAAGGCACTGCAATATTTATGTAGATAAAAGCAGTGTGACTTCTTTCCTCTCCACAAATCAAAAGTTTTTGCCATAAACATAATTTATCTTTAAATTACATAGTGTAATCTAGCTACTAAGTTATGGACTTCCAGACCTTTTTCATCCAAAGAGTACCCAGCTATTTGTTAATGATTTATCAAGTTTTCACTTTTTCTTCCTTTTCTGTCAGTAGGATTTAGTTTGTACTTTCTTTATCTTCACTCTCATTGATTTGATGCTAAATGAGTAAACGTTAATTTGTACAAAATGTTTTTTATGATCTTTGAAATTTGAAATTTTAGAATGAATCCTTTATCAAAAGCACTTATGAACTATAGCAAACAACTGTAAATATTGTAGATTTCACCTCTTTTCTATCTGATTTGATCTTCTCCTGTTTTACATAATCCTGTTCTCTTCAAAACTTCCAATAATTGATGTATTATGGAGACTCTCAGAAATTTTACAGTATACATATTTCTCTGGTCTACTATCAGCTTGAAAGGCTCTGCTAAACAAGAAGCTCTGGTCACTTTGAGAATTCCCTATTTAAATGAGAATCTGTTTGTGTGATTAGTGTGGTTGTAGAGAGAGAAAGAAAGAATGACTGAAAAGTGGAATTGTTGAGATTTGTCTGTAGCTGTAGGTCTTAATTAGATTCCTTGTCTTTTGTGCTCTTGAAGCAGAATGAAGCTTTTCATTCATAATTTCATCATTCATCGACTCATTGATTCATGAATTCATTCATTAAATGACGAAGACATTTTAACTCTATCAACGAGTTTTTTTCTGGATAAGAATCCGAAGTAATAAAAATGTGAAGCGATGTCCCTGTCTATTGACTTTACACACAACAAAAACCCCAAATCCTGCTCCTTCATGAATGTGTTTAAGTGCAGCAGGTTGGGGCTACTTCAAGTGGTCGTTTCCTGAAATTTCATGGCTTCATTCATTTACTAATCAAACTGGTCTGACACACATATTGGTCAAGTCATGGCCGTGCGCGGTTGTCAGTGTGGCTCGTGTTGCGTGTGTAAGGGGGCGATATGAGCTAGGCCTACGTGATTGCAATAACTCGTACTTATCGGAATAACTTATTAACGCTGTTACCATTCCTACACCTAGTTGTAATAGGGCCCCCCACAGTTATTAAAGTAGCAACAGGCAGTAAAATAATCTAATGTCCGACAGTCGGAATGAGTAATGTACCGTATTTACGCCATCTCTCTTATTCCATTCAAACGATTTATTAGATTACACTGTCGGAGTCGGGGTGTGCCTAATTTGAGGGACTGTATTACCCCGTGATCTCGCTTGTGACGTAACGTGCTGTGGCGCCCAAACCCGAAGGGTAGTTTCAGCCAACATTTGGGAGTGACGAAGGATTACGGCCACCACGTGATGCTAGTGAGTTGCTTGCATAGCGACGAAGACTCTGCTCTGTTAATGTACTTTAGGACACTTGTGGAACGTCGTACTACAGTATGGCTAAATCTAGGATAATGAGAGTCTACCAAGTCAGCTTGATAATCATAAAAGTGGTGGAACCAGTTGATTAAAAAACAAAGTCATTGGTAACAGTTACTGAGGTTTATTACAAATTGCAAAGTATTGATCACAGTGGTGTTACATTATTGGCTCAAACAAAACCAGCCAACAATAAGAAGCAATAATTATAAATTAATTATGTTAATAAAACAGACTTGCACATGAAAATGCATGCAACACTGGGAGTATGAAAATAACGGTAAGCAAAGCTATACCTCGAAGTACATTTGTGAAATGGAATGAACCATAGAGCTAGAGAAAATATGTGAATGATGAATCTCAAAATACTAATGCTTTAAGAAGGGCACGCTCCATGTTCAAAACTCAACACCACAGCGTACATAGATAAGATCAATGTTCAGCATGCGAGCGGATGTCATCAATTTTCAGGATCATCTTGACCATCTGCGTTGCTAATACAATTTGTTGTTTCTTGCTGTGCAGAGTTTCAATAACATGTTGAGTCTTCATATCTGCGGTTCCCTTCAGCATACAATCAATACCAAGAGCAGGGTTTTTCTCCTTGACCTGACGAGCCTTCACTTCTGTGAGAGTTTCCATATTTGACAAGCCTGAGTTTTCAGCTAGAGACAATGGAATCATTTCCAATGCATCAGCAAAGGCACGGAAAGCATACTGCTCAAGGGTGGAAATCTGCAAGCAAGTTAAATGAGGTTAAAAATTATGAAATAAAAGTTAAGTGGAAAGTCTAATAGATGAACAGAGCATACCTTGTCAGCCTCCTGTGAAACTGCAATTGCGCACGAGATTTCAGAAGCTCCCCCTCCATAAACCACCCTGTTGTCCTGAACCAAGTTCCGGACTACGCACAGGGCATCATGAAGAGATCGCTTAGCTTCATCAACAATCTAAAAATTACAAATATTGAGTTAAGGTGTGTAGCAGCAATTAGGTACAACACAAATCAAGAAGTTCAAATACTAACCATTTTATTTCCTCCACGAATGAAGATGGTGACTGCTCGCGAGTTCTTGCATTCCTCAATGACTAACATCCTTTCCTTGGTAGTTCCAAAGACAAGTTCTCTAACAAGACCCGCAGACCCTAACTTCTCAGCAGTCAACTCTTCAAATCTAGGCACAATACGGCCTCCAGTTGCAATAGCAATGAGCTGGAAAAGTTCTCAGATTAGCTTCACTGAATAATGTGAACGGCACCAGTGTATAATAATTCGTGCCCTCAGCTCTCATAATCTCCGCACATGGGGCTACCTCTGCCTTGAGTACTACCAGAATGAAAAAAGAAAGTGGAAGACAAGACGAAGAGAAAGCGAGATGCATAAACTGGTAGACCATCAAGACAGCTACCCTTTGCGATGCGTTCTCTCATCATTGGGCAATATGTTAGGTAGCTGAACATTAGATCAATCACCTACCTCAATTTCAGGTCCGCCGACCCAACGAACGGCAGGCAACTCCTTTTGAAGTAAAAGATGGTTGGCTTCATCATCAAAGCCCCACTGGCAAATGGCTAGGGTGGCACCGGCATCTTTAACCTGAGAATAAACCAATTTGTTAAATGTTTTCATAGCATATACATATTTCCATATCTCATGTACCCTTTTTTCTACCTCCTTTAGCAAAAGCACACTTCAATCTACTTGTGTCAAATAATATGACCAGCAACATATAATGAGGCTGGAATGGATTAGTTGAATTGATCTGGCAAGCTTCAAATAGTCCACACTCCATAAAAGAGCAGAACGGAGTGCACTTGCATGACTAAGACCAGCAATGAGGTTGATTCAAGAGGTGGACAGTCCACATTTCAATAAATGTATTGGAAACATACCTGCTGAACCATCTTTAAGAAAGTCTCCACTTCATATTTCCTTAATTCCTTGTAATCTTCGACAGATGTAACATCCAGCTTATGCTTGGTTTTGGGTTTTGGTGGTTCAAAGGGGCATGTGAGGATAGCAAGCTTAACATCTCTCAGAACCTGAAATAAAAAGTTCAATTACGACCAGAAAGAGGCATGGTCTAAAAGCAGGCACTTTTCCCAGATGTACTTGTAATGCTCACATCAGTGAAAAGAACATATAACACAGTCCTCCAATGGTTCGGAGCTTATTACTTTTGCACAATTTTATCCCCTTAAATACAAATGTAGCTGTAATTAAGTCTACATTGTGCAAATTTTCTGATCAGAAAAAATTAATAAAACGTGTTAAGCTCACATCAGTGAAAAGGACATATGGAACAGTCCCCCAATGGTTCGGAGCTTTTTGATATAGCACAATTTTATCCCCTTAAATACAAATGTAACTGTATTTAAGTCTACATTGTGCGAGTTATAGACTACAAAAATCTTACATGTTTGGCTCACATCAGTGAAAAGGACTAAAGGTACAGTCCCCCAATGGTTCGGAGTCAAATAATTGATATTGCACGTATGATCCCCTCTAAATCAGATATCATCTGAGTTAAAGTCTACAATGTGCTTGGTAAAATACAATAAAGAGAAAGTAGGTGGCTCACATCAGTACACGGGATTTGCAATAAGTCCCAATTGTTCGGGGCCAAGCACCTCTGGCGCAAAACTGTCCCTTCAGGTTCCAGATGTTGCCGAGCCAAAGTCTACTTTAAACAGAAGATAATTACCTTGGGCATCTGAGGGTGAGAAAAGTCCTTGTCAACAATGACACCTTTCACAAGCATTGTATCTTCCAAGCGCCCACCAACTTTGCCTTCCATTTTAATAAGTTCAAAGTTCACATCTCTCTTTTCCATGTCAGCAACAGCCATTACAGCATTTACTGCAATTTCAGCCATTTGTCTGTGGCATTTGTTAACACTGCAGAAACAAAAAAAACAGAAGTTAAACATGATAATTGAAAAATAACTGAACTCAGTTGGGGAGGATAAAAATGTTTTAAGATTCCTATGATACTACTGCAAGATGCACAGTAATATCTCAAACACTTAAATTTATATAGCAAGGTTCTAGAGACTGGAGGAAAATTTCCACAAATCTGCTGTAAACTTGCATGAAAGAAAAGTCCATATAAATATTGTGTATGAATGTTACTACAGCACCATTTAGATATCCAAAATGGTACCTCATCAAATTCTAATAATATAGCAAGTTTCTAAGGATTGAGGGAATAAATCCATCAATCCGCTGATTACTTGCACGAACAGCATAGTAGAAATAAAGTATTCTGTCTGAAGGTTACTACAACGGTATTAGGATCAGCATGATACCATCTCATCGACTTCATTTTATATTGCAAGGCACTGAAGGTTACAGGAAAGAATCCAGTAATCAGAAAATCAAACCTTGCTTAGGTTTCATGAAATTATGCCCGAGTAGAAGTGTGTGAGGATTACTACAACACTATCGAGATGAACCCAATGTATCTCATCAACCTCATAGTATTATTGCAAAATGTTACAGATTGGAGGAGGTATCCAACAATCCACATTTACATACAACTTGCTTAATAGTGTTCAGTTCCCATAAGACAAATTGGTATGTCATTTAAATGAGTCAGTGCCTACAATACACAACCACTGGGCTGGTTAATAAGAATTAAGTTTAGATCAGCCTTAATCAATTAACACTGTACCAAACTGAATAATCAGACATCTTATAAGAAAGAGGCTGGGAATAGAGAATGGCATTAATGTTGCAAGTTTAACAAAGTGCTCAACCCAGTGAACTGATTGGCACAGAGTGAACTTGCTACGCAACACTACATGTATTAGGCCTACAATACTTACATTTTGGAGCCAAGAGTTGTCATGGCAGTCCTAATAAGAGGTTCTAGGTTGTTGGTATCAACAGGAAAACTATCAGAAATAGTGTCTAGATGTTTCGCAGCGAACTGAGCAGCTAGTTCAAACCCATCAGCTATGCGAATGGGGTGAATGCCCTTATCAAGTAGTTGTTCAGCTTGCTCAAGAAGAGCACCAGCCAACACTAAAATAAAAACCATGAGATTAAAACACATCCTGTGAACACCCAAAAAAAAACCACTGAAAATATGTACCTACCCACAACACCAGTTGTGCCATCACCAATTTCATCGTCCTGTGACTGAGATAACTGGACCATGAGCTTGGCGATTTCGTGGTCAACATCCATCATCTTCAGAATGGTAGCCCCGTCATTAGTAACAGTAACATCTCCATCAGAAGATACCATCATCTTATCGAGTCCTTTGGGGCCCAATGAAGACCGCAGTGTGTTCGCAATCTGGCGCCCAGCCATGATGTGTTGCTGCAAGTAGAAGAACACAGTGAGTCTTAAATTTATTGAACAAAACTAGTGGTTCGATTACAAGACAAGCTTGAAATTAAAGGGGTTCTCTATAGACATGAAAAAATACATGGGAGCATAAATCGTCTGATCAAAGATATGAACGGTGTTACATGCAGGGGATTAAGCCTAACGCCAACTTCTTTCTCCAGAACGCCCATGCGCCTCTAACGCGAAGCAGAGGTGGAGATAACCGTTGGCGGGTGCCAGCACAAAGGGCTTGGAAGTCTGTAGGTTAGTTTGTACTCAGGGTTCTGCCCGTGGGGACGCCAAGAAACATGATCAGTCAAGAAGTGAATGAAGGAAACCAAATGTGATGCTGGATCACCACATCGCAATTTCTCCACAAAAAATGAAGCCAAGTCTGTCGGATAACAGTGAATCACCGATTTGCCGGGTGCCCACCTGACACTTCTAGCATATAATACACGTACCAAACTAACTTGTTCACAATAGAAAGGTAGTTTTTAAGGGACGGACGTGAAAAACTAACTCGTGAAGAGCCTAAACGAGAAGAAGACAGCCCCTACTACCAAAGAAGTGATCGTACAGAACATCCCAACACAGAGCGAGGAAACAAACCTTGATAGCATCGTTGCCAGTTAATCTGTTCTGCTTTTCCTGATCACGAATAATGATGAAAGGACGACCATACTCGTCGAAAGTCAGCGAGCCCGGTATTCCGGGCATGATGATATTTTTTGGTTCAACAGGGAACCTAGATCTAGACTGGAATTACAACAATGCCTTGGGCAATGCGGCTGAACTTACACCGTCGCCATAACGTGACCGCCGGAGTTGAGGGAGAGGTGAGGTGCGGTGAGGGGTGGTGTGCTCGTTCGTCGGAGACGGAGAAGACGGAAGTGACGGAAGAAGGGAAGAAGAAGTTGGTTTTAAGTGTCGAAGCCGGAAAGAAATTTTCTTCTTACTCTTTTTTCAGCCAAAACTAATCGTTTCAAAATATTAATTTAGTCATTTTTTTCAATTCTAAACATTTCTCTCTTCTGTTTTTAATAATTTTTGTTGAGATTTCGTGCCCAGCACCACGTTTCTAAACTGACCGAATTCTGGGCATCAGATGGCAAGGTGTTTTTGATTCGACTATAGAATTGTGTTTACAACTGTGTTTACTCACAGAGTAGTTCTAACCATTATAACGAAAAATGGTTTTAGTGTCTTATATTGATATTTTGGATTACATACACGATGACAGGCAATGTCTCATCGAGGGGGAGAACCTGTTCAATGGAAATAAAGTTAAAAATGTCAAAATATCCTGCAGAGCAATCGACGATGTATTTGAAGTTAGTGCTTTATGTGTCTGCAGCAATGAATCAAACTTAAAAGACTCCTTTATATCTATAGAAATTAATCAAGGTGACCAAAAAAGTATATCCTCAAAATGTACTTGTGAATCTGACAGACTCAGCAAGTGCCAGCATGTTGCAGCCGCCCTAATTCATTTACACAGGTAAGCAGTCTTCAATAATTATTTTTTTTATCTTTTCTGTTTTTATTTTTTGAAATTAACTTAGCTCATTGTCATGTTTCTGAAAACTAGGCACCCTCCTCCTCAGCCTCCAAATGTCCCTAATAAAGAATCACCTGGACAACTATCACCCGAAAATCATTTGAATGGAGGTATCGCAAAACAACCTGGTAAAGATACAGAGCACAATTTTCAGCGCAGACTGAGGAAGAAATGCAGAGCAACTTCTATCGCTAACTCTATAAAAGGTCTATAAATATATCTATAAAAGGTGTGAATTATTTATTTTTCCGAGTTATTAATGGCTTATCTTTTAAATTATCTTATTTGAAGCAGATGACTCGAGAACTGTGAACACCAAACACCTGCATATTGATAATGAATCAAGTGTTGATGATCCAACATGGGACAAAGAAAATGATGAAGATGATGCATTTGACTGGGCACAGTCGTCTGAAGATGAATGGGAACCTGCTCCTGAAAAGAAGCGTGTTAAAAAAGAAATGAAGTTGCTTCCGGACAAGGTACAAGAGTGTATTTGTTTTATAAACTGATTACATTTGCTGATTATCTCTTTCTCTACATTATTCTATTCCTCCAATGTTGCAGGGCTCGAAAGAAAAGACCAAGTATGTCAAAAGATTAAGAAATCATTATAAAGTACATGTAGGGTGTACACCCTTCTGCTAATTTTTGTTAGTTTATAGTTTTAAGAATATACATACTTCAATTATATCTATCACTCCTTTTTTCTTCTTCAGAAAAACAAGGAATCGAATGACTAAATCAGAAGCAGAAAAGAAGGCCAAAGAACTCTTATCTACACTGCAGCTAAGTATGTGAACTACAGTATACAGCTATAGCCGCACTAATTTTTCTTATGGAGAAGTACCCACCGAAGCCAAAAATTAATTTGTGAATTTTGTACAGCAGGAGAAGATGGACAGTTCTTATGCCATATTTGTGACAAGACATTCCCTAAACAAAGTGAACTTCAAGACCATATAAGAGATATTCATCTATTAAAGAAGGAAGTTTTTTCTTGTTGTAAGTGTGATAAAACATTCAGATTACTAAGAACTCTTAAAGCACATGAAGGAACTTGTGATGTGAATTCTGAAGAGGATGGAGACCTATTTCCTTCCGAGGAAACTCAGGAAATAGGTAAGTGTGTTAAAATAAATTACCCAACTACAGTCCTCTATTGAAAATATTCATCATGTAGATGGCTGATTCGCACTGCCCTCTTCCGTACACTGTACCGCATATGATCAAATCATTTCAGAAATAGTCGAAAATGACCTGGAATTCGATGAAAAGATGGACCCCCTCCAATGTTTGCTCTGCGATGTGGTATCGGCGACTCGCCGTGAAATGCATGATCATTATCTGGTTGCCCATCGTGCAGAAGAGGACAATGTTTCAGTTTGTGACCGTTGTGGTGAATTTCGCCTCGCCAGGTAATTAATCTTTCTTATTGAACGTTGTTGTGCGTGGTGAAATTAAATAAACACACTCGAAGGCCCGCTCTGTGCTATATTTAGAGAGTGAGTGAGTCTTTAGGGGACTGTCTAAAAAGAACACCCAAAACTGGCTTGAACCCTTTGCTTAATTTTTCTCACAGGGACCACATCTGCCCCTCTCAGTTGTCGTTCCGCTGCCACATGTGCCGCGGCCCGTTCAAGGCCGGGCGTGACTACTGGAACCATTTGATTCGCGCCTCCAAGAAGCACACGTCCTCGTGCTCGCCGTCCCCGCGCTGGTGGTGCGGCTGGGCGCGCTGCGCCGAGCGCTTCCCCTCCGAGGCCGAGCTGCTGGCGCACGCGCGGCTGCACCTCCCCGCGCGCGTGCAGCTCATGTGCGGCGTGTGCCTGCTCGTGCTGCGCACCACGGACGCCAAGGTCGCGCACATGGAGAGGCACGACGCGGGCGTCTACGAGTGCGGGGTCTGCCGGCACGCCTGCGACGACAAGGAGTCCCTCCGGCTGCACTGGGAGACGCACGCCGGGGAGCGGCCGCACCGGTGCGACTTCTGCGGCTGGCGCTTCGTCACCGCCACGGCGCTCGAGGCATGTATTCCTCAGTCAGGCTGGGCACCTGGATGATATGTGTATTGTGAAGTGTAGTTTGCCGTATTCCAAATTAACGACCGATTAGCAGTAATATTCATGACCTACCAGGTGGCTGATTCACGCCGCGCACTTCTGTAAGTATACTGTACCGCATGCACGAGTGCGGGCGGGCTTGCCTACCGCCCCTGTCCACGGCGCCTTACGAGCCGAGCGAGTAGGCAACCCGCCTGCACTCGTGCATGCGGTACAGTATACCTACAGAAGTGGGCGGCGTGAATCAGCCACCTGGTATTATGAGAATCGGGACTTACCAATCTGCAATCGGCAAACGGCAAATCGCAATCCGCAAATCGTGCACAAAGGTCTTACATGGCTATCGTAGGTTTGTTTTTTGTCTTTTTTAATCGGTCAGCGCCAACTTTGACCCCAAAACTAACGTTCCCTTGAAGCGACGGCGCCCTGGAGTGGGAGAAAACACTATTGAGTGCCGTAAAAGTGCGCCTACTTTGAACTTTTGTACGTCGCCAGAGGCGACGTTTCCCTTTGGCCATGCCTCCCCCCCCCCC